CCAGCATTACGACCTTGAAAAAGTGTGGCTTGACATGTATTTATTTCAACTTTGAGGCTTTTGAGCCGTCTGATCTGTTTCAAATTGCAATATGGCTTCGTGGGTCAATTTATTGATTGTTTCTTGTGGTGCCATCTGATCTTCAAGTCACACGGTTTGTCTACAATTTAGATGTGTTTACTTGGACTGAAATTTTCTGGTAGTGGTCTGGTAAATGTCTGGTCTATGTGTATTTTATGACTATTCAAGTTTGGTTTGGTCTGATTTGGTCTGATCTGGTCGGGACTGAAAACAGTCGAAGTAAAAAAATCCCAAACATCCATAGATGTAAGTGTGCCAGTGGGGTCAAATTAAATCAGAAACAAATTATATTTGTGGAAATATTATACGCAGTACCATATATGGTTTTTCTGTAAATTATTCTATGCATCAAAATTGCACAGAATAATGTGCACCAAATTTATTCATATAAAATAGTGTGCTAGTGGGGTCGAATTAAATCAGAAACAAATTATATTTGTGGAAATATTATACGCAGTACCATATGTGGTTTTTCTGTAAATTATTCATATAAATTATTATGTGCACCAAAATTGATGTCTACTATCTAATTTGATAGACAAAAGTTATTAATTTGTGTGAAGAGTTTTGAGTCTGTATAAAAATGTATATATCAAACATTCTCATAAAAATTATGACTTGATTAGATTGATCTTTTTAGATATTTTAATGGTGTGTTCTAATTTGTTAATCGACTCAAAATATTAATTTATTCAACTATGCTACTTTAAAGTCTGTCAAAAAAAATTATACGTAGTACTACTTTAAAGTTTAAAGTTACAAAGACGTATAGTAACTAACTACTAGCTTTCTTTATTAAATGATCAAACATTCAAACATGTCAATAGCTTTCTTGAACAAAAGTTAAATGCTACGTAGATCAGAGCAATTTTTTTCACAGAACTACAGAAAGATCAAAATTTCAATCTAATTCTTCAGCAAGTCCATTAGAGTGTAATCTTTTATTCCAAAGAAATTCCTCGAAATGAGCTGTAAGGAGAATTATACACAACACAGCTTAATAAGCCCTGCAACAACCGTTTTATTATTAACCATCTTCGGAGGGAAAAGTCGGTGCATTGCCACACGCTGCATTCAACTTTCAAGATTCCAGCTCTATTGAAGCTAAAGTCAGAGTGCAACACTGTAATCCACTCAACTTGTCAGATTATCATCAAACAGTAAACACAAAGCAAGGGCTTTCCATAAAGGGAAAAGTAGCAAATAAGCGATCGAATTAATAAAAAAAGTGCAAATCACCCATTATTTAGGAGACTCTGTCCAGCCGTTGCCATTTGAGCGGTTCATGGTGAAATTTTTTGATGGATTTTTTTTGAAAATCTTCTTCATTAAGTCTAGTTTATCCATACCAAATTTCAGCTAAAAATTCAATCGAAAAGACAGTCAAATGATTTTGGAAAATAACTGCGCAGTTAAATAGCACAGTATATTTCAGAAAATTATTTGACTGTCTTCCCGATTTAATTTTTAGTTGAAATTTGGTATGAGTAAACTAGACTTCATGAAGAACTTGCTCAAAAAATTTCATCAAAAAATTCCACCGGGAACCGTCCCAAATGGCAACGGTCGGACAGAGCCTCCTATATAAGGGGTGATTTGCCCTTTTTTGGTTAGTTCGAGGGCTTATTTGCACTTTTTTCCTTCCATAAAAACAAGGCCTTTCCATGATATTGTCATTACGCTCTATCAAATTCTTAGTGACTTGAACCTAAGACCTTCTACTAGGGATAGAATCAGTTTCTTAAGAACAACCCCCGTATGTAACCACCAGTTCGGGGGATTGGTCCCAAGTCTGGCCGTCGGGCCCAGTCCTCCGTTCCCTTTTAATTGCAACAGTAAATATTTCACGTTTGCCAACGTACAAGTTTGACCATTAATATCTTTCATTCCTTATTAGTAAAAAATTTTAAAAATTTATATTTTGAAAAATTAGAATGAGAAGAATTTAATAATATTTAAAAAAAAAATTATAATACATTAGTTAATAAAATATAGTCAAAGTAGAATACATGAATAGTGCAAAAAGTCCAATGTTGCAATTAAAGGAGAACGGATGTAGTATAAAAGTAGAATGCTATCAATTTATTAAAATATTTCCAGACTTATGCGTAACTTATTAAAATATTTTCACATATGCGTAAATTATTAAGCATTTGTATCCATATTATTGAGCGACCAATTTGTTGTTATATCAGAAAATTCCCGGAGTACTAGTTGATTAAATTATTAAAATAAAATAGTAATAGATATCTAATTAAATTTATTGAATTGTAACCAACTTTAATAAATATCAAAATTTTAACCAAGTTTCATGTAAGTTGTTTGTCTCTCACTCTCTCTGTTATGAATTATGATTCATTTAAACAGAGAGAACTTTAATAAAACGTAGCAATTCAGATGGATCTTGGTATAACTGCTTCTCCTCCTTCAGGGAGCAGAAGTAGAAATTGGAGTGTTTGGGTGAAAGTGCAAAAATGATTTTGGTGCTCTAATTTACTTCTAGAATCAGTTTTTTAAAAGCTGGGAGAGACCATATTCTGAAAACTGATTCTGCTTCTGCTTTAAAAAAGAAGCAGAATCAGTTCCAAACACCCCCTAAAACTTCATGGACTTACAACAACAACAACAACAACATCCAAGCCCAAGGATGTTTTCGTTTGGACTGTTTTCAGTCCCAGACCAGATCAGACCAAACCAGACCACACCAGACCAGACTAGAGTTCCGTAGTTACAAAATACACAGAGACAAGACGTTTACCATACCAGACCAGATCAGACCAGCAAATTTTAGTCCAAATGAAAACATCCTTAGTCCCAAACGATATTAGGTCGGCTAACATGAATCGATACATGATATCATCACCAAAAAGAAAAAGAAAGAAAATAAAGATAAAAAGATAAACTATTATAAAAAAGATATATTAAAAAGAGATGAATATACCTAAAAGGATAAAATAAAAAGGAGAAAAATAATGTTTATATATAAGGATAAAAGGATATAAAAACGGAAAAGATAATATGAGATCAATCCTCCACATGAATACCCGCCTCCACTTTGCTCTCTCCAAAACCATACATTCATCTAACCCAAGAAGAACCATATCACTACGGAGTACAAATATGTTGTTTTAATAAGTATTGAGTAGGGGTGGACCCGGGCCGGTTCCGGTTCGGGCCTGGGCCCGGCTGGGCTTTTATTTGAGAATGGGTGAACCGGAACCGGCCCGGGTGGCCGGCGGGTTCCGGGTCGGGCCGGGCCTCGGGCCACTTCCTATTTTTTTTATTACTTTTCTAATTAATCCCCGACCCTCCCCCCACCCCGACCCCCCCAAATCACCCTAAATGGCCCAAAACACCCAGCCCAACCCAGAAAAAAAAAATTGAAAAAAGGCCCAGAACCGGGCCTGGCCCGACCGGGTCGGTTTGTCTATTGGGTGACCCGAGTCCGCACCGTAAAACCACCAGGCCGAGCCTACCCGGACCGGTCCCTGGTTGGGCCACCGGTTCGGTCGGTTCCAAACAGTGCCGGTTCGAGCCGGTTGTGGGTCGGGCCACCCGGGTCGAGTCCATGCCTAATATTGAGTAAATCCGAGTGAATGTTGAAAGAGTATTGCTCAATGGGGGGCTACGCTGGGTGAGCACGTTTAAATAACCCATACTCGTAAAAAGAACTTCCTACTTGGTATCTCAGAGGTTATACAAATCTAGGCTGTTTGAGGGGTTTTGTTGTTTGTAGAGAAAAGGTATTCCTTCTTTGACTTGATGGTTATTATCATAAATTGCTAGTTTGCTACCACAATAAAAAACCCAAGATTATACTTAGAATCTAAGTTCACCCTCAACAACAATAAAACATCAAGATGTGTTCAAAACAAAACTCTTTTTGGGGTTAGATTGCTAAGGTGGTTACTATCCAAAACCTTGTATTGCAGATTAGATTACTTATTTATCCTTCTGATATGATTGACTTCTAGGCTTGGGATTAGATTGTGCTTGGAAAGTTGTTTATTTTGGAGGATTGTATATCATGGCTGAGCAAAGGATAGTTTTGCGGCAGCAGAGAGAGATGGCTGAGCAAAGGAGTGTTTTGCTTCAGGAGAAAGGGGTGAACCCATTTTGCTGTATTTAATCTTTGTCATTTAATATACATTTGCCTTTTATATATATAAAAAAAAAAAAAAAAAAAAAAAAAAAAAAAAAAACTCTTTTTGGGGAGGTAGTGACTCATCAACCAACTAGTGCTCATTGTACTGTGTATGTAATATTGACCATTGACCCAATAATTCAGAAAATAGAAACCTCTAGGAAAGAAGCAATGGATATTACACTGTTTCAAGTAATACAACTTTGACCCAAGACTCAAGAAGGTACTCTGAAATACCATAACTTACAACTAAAGAAAGCAACAGCAAAGTTAAGACATCAAAACTCAAATTACAAAGTAAAGCCTGTTATTGACTTTCAGAAGTATCATTACACCTCAACAGGTTCATCACAGCAATAATTGGCATAAATAGAAATTACTTCCACAATAATTGCGTTTCTGATTCATCCTGGCCCTTGCAAATGAAGCTTGCCACAAATCAAAGCAATCAACCACATTCCTTTACCATAAACCACTTTATCTTCACACTGAATACAATCCATGGAACCCATTTTAAGATTTCTGTTTCACAAGCAATCTAAGTTTCAGCAAAGATAATTTTAATCACAATAAGCACTCATTGCATCAATACCTTGCATCCATCTGCAAGATTCCTGCTCTCCAAGAAAACTCTGAATGATTCAATGGTTTATGTATTCCATACACTGCTGAAGAAGCCTCAAGCAATATGTAAAGATAAGGGCAAGATCATTGCATATGTATGTGCGTTGTGTTTGTATATGTACACACAGATATATAAAAATAAGAACTTTATTGACATTATAAACGATGCATAACTACTATGTGGAGGGCATCATATCCCCAACGCAAGACAACAACAACTCCTAAAATACAACCAACAAGTCAGTTGTACTTATTATTCCAACATTTACCCAACACTTAAGATAATACGTAGTAATAAGAAAGACCTTAACTTCAACTACCGATAGCTATTGATTTAATTCGAACAATTTACCAAACCAAACAGGAACAATAAATAGTAGCCTTCTTCTGACTCGTAATGTAGAAGTAGAGAGCGAAATTTTCATGGATGGAGACTTGAGTGAATTGCAATTCTGATTCGGCCTTCCCCTTGAAAAAATAAGGGAAGTTTTGCCCGAAACCAAAGCAATCACCCAACTTTCAACCTGAACCACCTCATCTTCACTGCAAGTGCGAATGATCTCCATAAACCATCTACAGAAACCATCTTCACAATGAAAATCAACACATGTTCAGCCTCAGAAAGCGCCGTATATCACTGGTAGCATCACCGTTTCTTTGTCCGAGGATGTTTTTGTTGGTGAAGGAAGGCAAAGGAAGAGAACTGGGCGGAGGCGGAGTAGCAACAGATAATCCAGCATAAAAGTCACCGATCTTAATCTCGTTCAGCATCCTCTCAGGCTCGGGTCCAAGCCTGCTAATGGTTGACAGCACAAGCTCTTTCTCCAGACTATCAGCAAAAGGCTCGATCTCAGCCTTCTTCGACTCTACTACTAACGACGCCGTATTAGTCAATGTCTCACCACGTTTCAATATCTTCACCTGGCCCATAATCAAATTACTCATCGCTGCCTTCTTCACCGGCGGAGAATTAGAGAGATTGAGACCCCCGCTGTTACAGGAATCAGTAGATCCGTTCTTCTGAGGGCTGCGCTTCCGCCGATCTGACTTCCCAGTTCCACGGCTGGAAATAGGGTTAGGGTTAGAAGAGGGATTCCTCTTGGGCTTCATATGAGCGTTGACAAGACTAGTGTGTCGACGATTCGATCGATTATGCAAAGGATCTTGTGGGTAAAGAACTTCTATGGCGGCCATCGCAATAACTTCTAAACTCGGCTTGAGAAATATGAACAGAGTATCTGGAATTTAGAGAAAGATGATAATGAATAGGAGAAATGGAGAAATTGCTGGTCGTAGGGTGTGATAGAGATACTTACGTTTGTCTATACAAAGAGGAAGAACGCAGAGAAGATAGATCTGAAGCGAGGGTTTGGAGGTGTGAAGAAGATGAAGGGGAAAAGGTAGGTTATATAGGAAGCGGAGGCGGTATAAAACGTGGCCAGTGGGTACACGAATTTAGACGCGTGACCAATTCTTTCCGCAGTCCGGACACGGAAACCGAATGACTTGTTTGATAAAAGAATTAAGAAAGATTAGGGACTTAGGGTAAGTTATTTGGAATGCCTCAAATTTGAGGTTGGGTGAATTGGTAAATGACTAGGGATGGCAAGAGGCCGAGTTTGGGGCGGGGGTCACTCCCTCATTCCCCGCCCCATGTCTAAAAAGCTCCTCCCATCCCCGCCCCATCCTCCATCACTCCCATCCCCGCCCCACCCCGCTGTTCCCCACGGGCGCCCACGGGTGCCTCCATATATATTTTAATTATCTTATTTGTGTATTTTTTAAATCCATTTTATAGATAAACAAATATATATATAGCACTGAAAGAGTTAAAGTAGATAATATTGTGTTCGATAAAAGATGATACCGCCGATTTATAATAATTCTTCAATTTGAATAAGATCTATAAAAATAATAAAACTAAAAGTATAAGTAAACATATTACAATCATGTATGTTGTTCCAAATTTCTCATCAATTATACTACAATTAATTATGTGGATCGTTGCGCTTACCGCTACACTAAAAGCAATCGCTGATAGTGTAGCACGCCCTTCCCCCTTTTATAGAACAGGCAAAGCGCCACGCGGTCCGATTGCACCGGCAGGCTGGCAGATTGCTGACCGCAAACCCGCGGTAGGCCAACAAATTATATATATTATACATATGTTTATGTAGTGTGTGTGTTCTATTTACTTAGTTTCTCACTTTTAAAACTCATATATCATTTATGATAAGTATTTTTAGTCATTACTTATTATTCTAATATAATACTTAAGTAGGATTAGTTCATTAGTCATGACAATTACACATACATGTATGCATGTCTATAAGGATGTGTATGTGTTTGTTATATACTACGTAGTACATATAAATTAATTAAATATGTTTATACAATATTAATATATGTATGTATGTTTGAGTATATATTTAATCATGGTAGTCAAAATCGCGATCTTGCACGTAGGATCGTACGATTATACGATCTCTACTGCTCCCTGCGATGTCGGTTTTACTAAGGATCGTAAAATAGTGGAATCGATGAGATCGCCCGTGCAGAACCGTAAACTCGTGGAAACATAGCTAAATCGCGAGTCAACAATGAATAGTTGTCGGAAATTTTTAAAGGCTTACCTTCGGGATTAGGAATCGTCGGCAAAAAAGACTGAAAGGTCTAATAAAGGATTGAATCGTCGCAAAAACCCCATCCTTCTGCGATGAACTCGTTATCTTGATCTCAGTTGTCGGCAAAAAGACCTCATCTCTCTGTATCACCTTGTTATCTTGAATCGATCTCCAGGCCAATAGTACTACACACTCATTGTTTATATTTTATTATAATTATACTATTATTACATCGTATTATGTTATACACAGTATTATTACACCAATAGGTATTTACTTTATTACTCAGTAATATACTTTTAATAAAATAACTTCAATTTCCAGTCAGCTGTTAGTCTTGTTGCTGTTATTTATTATTATTATTAATAAAATACAACTTTAATTTACAGTCAGTTGTTAGTCTTATTATTATTAACATTATTATTTTTTATAACTATTTTGTATAATATCTAAAGTATTGGGTATTATATTGTAAATATCTTAGTATGATTATTATTGATGAATTATATTCAATACCTTACTATAACGATATCATACATTATTATATATGTAGTATGAAATAAATTCATTTCTGATTATAACTTATATGTATGTGTGTGTGTATAGTAGGATCTTACGATTCGAGTCACGATCCTATGATTTATGATCTTCAAACCCCCTCACGATCCTACGTAGGATCTCGAGTTTGATGACTACCTTGGATTTAATTATAACGGGTAGGGGGCGGGGACGGGGCGGGTGTAGTAATCCCCATCCCCGCCCCATATTTTAGCGGGGTAGAAATATCTCACCCATCCCCGCCCCCGCCCCGCTCCATCCTTCCCCCACGGGGCGGTTCCCCACGGTTCCCCGTCCCCATTGCTATCCTTATAAATGACACTCAAAGGTTTTAAATTTGCAATATACAGGGGCGAAGCCAGGGCATTGGGCCGGACTGGACCGATACAAAGAATATTTTTGAAAAATTTTTTGTCCGAAATTTTTTATACTAATAATAAATACATTTTTAAAATTAGGCTGGGCCAGGGCCAAGGTTGGCGCTCCCCTATCTCCGCCCCTGACAATATATGTATACAAAATATATACATTTTTTAGTTTTGACATTCTTTACAAAAATCTCTATTTTTTATCCACACTCCTCTCTACGAAAATAAATAATGCAATTGGTACACCTTTTTTTTTTTACACACTTTGAGCACATTATAAATGTTTTATATTTTTATTGTTTAATTTTACATTTTACTTCATTCTTCCTTGCCGTATTCTCTCCCTCCACTGTATCTTCGTCTTCTTTTTTCCTTGGCTAAAGAATCAAATAGATTCATGTACTTGTCGTGTTGGCTCAATTCAATTCATAAACTAAAAAAGGTCCAATTTGCACCGTGACACGGGAAAAAATGTTCGAATTTCAATTTTTACGAGTCAATGTTGAACTTTTTTAAATTGTTCAGGGTGCGAATTGGGCATTTTTTAAGTTCAGGGACTACATTGAGCGAACTTGATAGACACATGGACCTATTGGGCCTTTTTCCATCTTCATAGTCTTTATCTTCCTCACTTTATCCCCATATTCATCATCTTCACTCCCATCTCTCTCCATATTCATCACTTCATCATTTTTATCATTGTCAACTTTTAGGAATGGAAAAAATGTTCAAGAGACATCGCAAGGTCGCCGGAAAATTAGAGATGAACATTTGTCGTAATTTTTGTTTTTGTGGTTTATAAAACATTGTTTGCGTCGTGCTGAATAATGATAAATTTGCCTGTATCATTTTTTAAAATTACGCCATAGATAAAAAATATCTATATACTAACACTATTTTTTAGAATGTATGTTTCCAAACAAAATTATTAAGCACAGACAAAAAAGTACAAATTGTTTGTGATGCAGACAAGTAAATATCTATGCACAGACATTGATTTTTATGCAACCAAATTCCGCATTTCTGTAGCGCAACACACAAATCAATGTTCGTACACAGACATTAGATGCCTTTAAACAAATAGTTTGTGTATTTTTTATTTGTGATTAACAATTTTGTGAAGGCAACATACAAAAGATGTATAATTATGTGTGTACAAATAACTAACGGGGCATTGGTGTGCTCATGTGCAAGTTTGTTGCAGAAATACCAAATTTAGTTGCACGAAAATAAAAAATTGTGCATAGCCATTATTTGTAAGCTCTGTTCCAAAAATCGTTCTAGGCAGACTAGTCCCCGCCTAGGCGCTAAGCAGTGGATGGGCACCCCGATTTTCGTCTAGGCGCTCCGACTAATCAGTTTTCCGTCTAGGTGAATTAGTCGGCCGCTTATGGCGCCTAGTTGCCATCCTAGAGCGCCTAATCGGCCACCTAAGCCGTACGTCTAGATTCACCGAACATTATTTTACTTTTAATTTTAGTTTTCTAAGCGATATACGTACATTAGCTTTAGTCATGGACATAAAGAAATGAAGTTGTAAATTAAGATAAAACTATATATGTTTATATATATACCTAAATTTCATCATTATTTATATTTATGACATAATGAAGTCAACTGATTAGCTATCATATACTGCGTATGATTAAATGTGATAATTCTATCGTTCATTTGGTTAATGTATATGTATATATGTATTTTATACACACAAAAATACAATATTACTTATCTTATTTATGCAAATGCAATTTCTTTGTCTCTGATTAGTCCTCGCTTAGGTGCCCGCCTAGCGCCTTTTAGAACATTGGTTGTATGTGCGTAGATAATTTATACAATTTTTCTGTATTTAAGAAATTTTGTCTGGACACACAGACACTATAAAATCCAGTTTCTGCATATAGATTTTTATCCCTAGCAACTTTCTTGCGACTCACATAAATTCATTTTTTCAGATCCTATAAGATGATAAGGGTAAAGATGATAATAATGATGAATATGGAAGATAGTGAAGATGGGAAAGGATGAATATGGTCAGGTAGATGGAAGTGGAAGATGGAGATAGAGCAGGGTAGATCAAGACGGTGATGGTGGGTGTGAAGGTGATGAAAATGAAAGGAAAAAGAGAAGATGAGAGAGTGGGAGCGGGGGCTTCGTAAAAAATGTTAGGTGTACAACTTGGTATACACCTTGGTTTACACCGTATAAAAGGATTGAAATTTACTATTTTTTATTCTTCCCTCCCTCTTCATTGGCCCACACGGTTCTCTCCTCTTCAATCTTCCATTTTCTTCTTCTTTCTCTCAACTTCATCATCTCCCATCTTCTCTGTCTTTTATATCATTATCTTCACCATTTTCATCTTATTAATCTTCATTCTTCATCATTTTTCATCTTCATCACTTTCTATTTTCACCTCATCTTTCATATTTCTTGATCACTAGAGTTTAAGTCAATTGCAAATGTCATCAGAAATATCAATGGAAAAAACGACTGAAGTTTGAGAGTCGCTTAAAATCGTTGCAAAACCACAAATGAAAACCTGTCTGATTTTTTGTATGTATCATCTACAAAATGTTATTTGTGTCGTGCTAAATAATGATATAATATTTATGTAAAGAAAAATAAAACTAAAAAATAGTAACATTTTGTGAAAATGTCTCACAAACAATGTAGGCATAGACACTGGTTTAGCGTGTCGTTCACTTCAATTTGGTGGTTGTGCACAGTCATATCTTTTTTGTGTACACCAACAAAAATGTCACACATCGACAAAAAATCTATGGATACAATTTTTCGTTTGTATACAGACAACAGTGTCTGCATAGAGACAGTGAACGGTTGTA